TGGGCAGCTTGACCCTGTAATGGAGGGCCTTGAGATAAGAGCTGCTGCCCCTGGAGGCAGCAGCCTTAAGATTCCTGGGATGCTGGAGACCGGGAGGGAGGGCCGCGTCAGAACCCCCCCCCCCCTCCCCCCCCCCCTCCTGACCACACTTAGGGAGGCAGGGAGCAGGTAAGGATCCTGCGCTATGTTTCCTCCTCGAATGGAAGGTGTCCTTGGCCATCTTCTCCTAGCGCTTTGATGGGGGGCAGCGCTGGTGGGCAACCTGGACAGGGAAAGGGTCCCAGGGCGAATGGCCATGGCTGGCTTGCTCCTTGGGCTGGGACGCGTGGCAATTAACCGCTGCAGGGGCTGTTCGTTCACACTCCCAGAGGCTAAACGGTGGTTCAGGGCCGAGTGGCAAAGCTGCTGGGCCTTTCCGCTCCTTCTGGCTGTAGCCGGTTTGCTGGGCGGGCTCCTGCTCTTGGCCGGCCTCCTGGGGAGAGGCTTCCAGTAATGGCCCACAGAGGGTTCTGGGATGCTGCTAATGGCTGTCAGACGGGTCCAATTCCACTAAGTGATGAGAGTGCCGGGGTGGGCCGGGAGACGGCTCCGACCTCCAAACCTTTTCGTGCTTGATGGGCAGGAAATCAGCAGAGCCTCTTCCTTCCAGCTCAGCTGCTGCCCTTCTTCGAAAATGCTGAGCGGAGTGGCATTCCGGGCAGCTGGAAAGAGGAGCAGGAGGGTGAGATCCCGTGGGGGGGAAGGGGCTTCTGTGCCCAGGGGCATTGCCTGCAGCGGCCTTGGTGGATGGGCACTTGGGGGTAGCCTTGTACCACCCCAGGACAGGCAGATGGCGTGCTGCCGCATCGCAGGGCCAGGCCCGAGTCACGCTCGTTCCCCGGGTGGTTGGAAGGCAGGCGCTCTGGCCCTGAAAGACACTGGCGTCGTTCACGGGGGTCTCCTTTCAGCGGCTTTGTGGGATCGATGGCTGTTGGCTCTCACCGTTGCTTTAGCAGCTGGTGGAATAAGCGCGGCTCACCAAAACCAGCTGGGCTCCCCAAACCTGGAGTTGGAAGGATCCCTTTAGATCTTGACCATGCTCTGGGGAGGAATCTAGAGAAATCTAGAAGACGGTTGAGCCTCTGCTGGAAGGCCTCTGTTGCGGGGAGACCCAGCTGCCGTTAGGGGCAATCCAGTGACTGCTGAGCATCTTCACAGCCCCTTGTGGTAGACCTACATGTCTGGCGATCTGGGAACCCCTTCATGGCTGGGAGCAGGACTCAGCAGGAAAGGGTGCCCAGAATTTCTGGGAAGCCCCGGGAGAGGGCTGGCTTTCTGAGTATTCCATGTACAGCAGCTGGTGGGCAGATCCTCCTGTCCACCGGAGCCCCACACGGAGGCCCCACTGCCACTGCCGTCAGCCCGCAGAGCCTGATCTGCGTCCTCGGGGTTCTGGGGGCCGTTGCTGGTCTGAGTGAGCTGCTTAAGGGTGAGCTGATCTGGACGGCTTTGGGGACAAGGGCTTGAGCCGGCCGCTCTGTCCCGAGTGCTGAACCAAGAGGCCTGGGCTGTTTCTGCTGAGGGGGCTGCCACATTTCTTCTTTGAGCCTGGGAAGTCTTTGGAAGGGACGGGTCAAGATGGAAGCGCCTTCCTGTCCTGTTGCCAGCTAAGGGAGGGACGCAGCCAGCCTTCCCCTTGTGAGACGAGGGGAGGAAGGTGAGGCCGGGCTAGAGCCAGGGGCTTGCGGGTGTGGGGGGGCTAACCCAGGCCACGGGGCGCCCCTCTGGGACCGTGTGGCCTCTGCCTCTGCAGAGGGCTCACCCTGATGGTGAGGCCCGGCTTGAGCTGAGCCCGGGCCGTGGCTGTGGAGGACGGAGGGGCTGCTTCTCTCAAGGCCAGACTGCGGGTCTTATCTGGCACGTGGGGCACTTGGGCTGGATCCCCCCGCCCTTGTCTCTCTGCGTGAGCAATCCAAGGACTTGAAGTGCCAATCCATTAAAGTGCAAACAAGAGCCTCCCTTCCCTGGCGACGCTATCTCGGCTCCAGCTGAGATGGGGGGCTGCTTGCCGGAAGGCTCATCCGGCTTATCAGGCGCATTCCAGCCCCTCCCCTCTAGCTCTTGCCCCTCAGCTGGGAAAGCGTGTGCGGCTACACAGAAGGGGAAGATGCTCGGGAGCCTCCGTCTGCCCGCGGTTAACGCCAAGGGGTCAAGGGTCGTTGCCTGGGTCCTTTTCTTGCACGTTTCAGGCCAAGGTTCTCCTAACGCCGCTGCTTTCCTCCCCTCCTCTCTCCCCTCCAGTCAAGTTTGCAGATTGCCAGGGAGGGGGGCTGGTTTCGTACAGCACCAACGCCACCGACTTCCGAGTGCTGGCAGACGGAAAGGTGGCGGCGCGTCGGCGCTACAGGCAGGAGCGGGAGAGGACTTTCGCAGTGGATGCCAGAGATTCCAGGGGCGTCCAGTCATCCGCCTTGGTTGTCCTGCAGAACAAAGGCCCCCCTTCTTCCCAGGTAGCGTGCTTCTGCCAGCGGGTGGCCTCAGGAGAGCGCAGGTGGCAGGTGCCATGGCAACCTTTGTGCCTCCACAGGCGGCTGTGGTGGAAACTGTGCTAATAGAGCACTGGGGCTCCACGGGCAGGTGGAATGTGCTGGGGGGAGGGCTCCCTCCCTGTGCGCGGGGAGGCGCTTCCCCGGGCCTGCTGGACGGGGCTTGAACTGAAGCGGCGGCGAGCAGCCACGATCCCAAAGATCGCCGCGTCTTGAATCCGAGCCGTAGATCAGCACTGAAGTTCCCGGTATTGTCTTATCCTTCAGCTGCTGTTGGACTACGACTCTCAGCCTCCCCAGCCAGCGCAGCTAATTACAAGGCGTGATGGTGGGGGTCCTTCAGCAACATCTAGAGGGCGACCACTACAGCAGAATTATACCGTGCTGACTGTGAGCACAGTCACATTAAAGAAAAATTCTCAAATTTCCCTGGGTTTTATGGAGGGCTTCGTTTCTTGAACTTCTCACAATCACGGATTACTAAATAAATGTTCAGAAAATGCAGGGATTGCTCAATGAAACAAACCTGCCTTCTCTACGTTTCCATCTGTAAGAGCAAGGAAATTCATTTTTCATCAAATAACTTAATAATCATAGTTTTATTCATCTCTGCTTCCTGTCCCCTTGAATGGTTATGCATACCTCACACCATATAACAAGATGAGCTCTTAGCTTTGCGTCATCGTAACCGAAAGTGCACAGAGGGCGGGAACTCTCCTGCTCAAGGAAATTGCATGTTTATGTTTTCATCTTTGGATTTGCTGTTCGTGATTTTCCTTTGCGGCCCAGTGCCTTGGGTCTGTCGCTCAAGGCAGGGGCTGAGGCGGCCAGGGGGTACCTGGCCAGCTGAGCTCAGAAGCGCCACAGACCACCTGCTGGACTTCTGCAGGAGAATGACCATTCTGGAGCAATGGAGGCTGATGCTGACCTTCTGGTCTGCAAGGCTACTGCCTGGGTGCCTGTTTGCTGAGCCCTCAGAATGACCACCAGTTCTCCGTGTGATGAATCCCTAACCCATTGCAGCTGTTCTTGCAGGAGGAACCTTCTCCTGCCAAGTTCCCGTCAGCCCGGCTTGGCCTGAAGCGGCAGAAGAGAGACTGGGTTATCCCTCCCATAAGAATACCTGAAAATGAGAGAGGTCCCTTCCCCAAGAAGCTTGTTCAGGTGGGTGGAATCCTGGAAGGAAAATTCGGCCTTGCCTCAGGTGTCTGGAGCTGGCTTTTCTGGATCATGATCCCATCAGCCCAGACATCACGAATCGCCGGGCAAGGCCATTCTCTTGGGTGGGTGACTGTCCTGGTGGACCGAGCTCCCTGGCATTCCCAGGCATCTCCTTTTGGCGGGGGGGGGGGGGGAGAGAAACCCTACCAAGTCTACTCTTTCTTTTCCCGCCTCAGATCAAATCAAACCGGGATAAGGAAACAAAGGTCTTCTACAGCATCACTGGGCAGGGGGCAGACACCCCTCCAGAAGGAGTCTTCATCATTGAGAAGGAGACGGGCTGGATGAAGGTGACGCGGCCTCTGGACAGAGAGGGCATTGACAAATACCATGTACGTGGTCCCTCTTTCCACGGGCGATCATCGCTGCAGCTGTGATGGAAGGCTTTGGGAACCTGCAGGCACCTCAGATTTGGATTTTTCTCTTTCTGCAGCTTCTATCACATGCTGTTTCTGAAAATGGCAAGCCCGTAGAGGAACCGATGGAAATCATTGTCACCGTCACAGATCAGAACGACAACAAGCCCCAGTTCACCCAGGAGGTTTTCAGGGGGTCTGTTTTGGAAGGAGCAACACCTGGTAAAGAGGGGAGAATTGGGGCGGGGATGGGGAGAAACTCAGCCCCAGCAGCAGGGAGGCGGCAAGACTGGGCCACACAGGCTGATGCCGGCTAGCTTCATAGGGGCCCCTGCTCAACTTCCTCCCTTCCCAGGCACGTCTGTGATGCAGGTCACTGCTACCGATGCGGACGATGCCGCAGAAACCTACAATGGGGTTGTGGCGTACTCCATCCTGAGCCAAGCGCCACAGGTGCCCCACCCCCAGATGTTTGCCATCAACAGAGCCACAGGGACCATCAGCGTCATCGCCAGCGGCCTGGACCGAGAGGTAAAGGCAGGGCTGGGGAGGAGAAACAAGCCCCCCGCAGAGGCCAGCTGGCGTCTTTCTAAGGGCCCAGCTGCACCCTGAGCTTGGCCGGGTTACTCCTCAGTTAGAACCAGACTGGGAATGGGCAGTGCCCTTCCTCTGAGGATGCTGGTCAGTTCAGGCGCTAACCAGAACACTTTCTCTTCCAGCGAGTGAGAGAATACACCTTGACCCTGCAGGCAGCAGACCTGGATGGGTTGGGCTTGACCAGCACAGCGTCGGCAGTGATAGAAATTATGGACGCCAATGACAACGTGCCCGAGTTCAGGGAGCAACTGGTACCCATTCTGCAAGGGCTAGGAGTGGGGGCGCCTTCCTGGGAAAGGGCACGGGGTCCACCAGCACAGGCGCTGAGCTCCCAGACCGTACTGCACGAGCTACAATTGGCTGGGTTCACACAAGGGTGTTAAACCACAACCATGGTTTATAAACTGGGTGTTGCTAAGTGAAAACCAAGCAAACCAAGTTATAGCTTAGTGTGAGGTCTGAACCTAGCTTATGGTTTGCTGTAATAGGTGTGCAGACTTCCTAGGATCCGTGCATAGCTAAGGTGTCTCCTCACACATCGCTCCCCCAGGCTTGGCAGAATTGATGCTCTCCCTCTGAGGCAACCTGGATGGCTGAAGGCTCCCACAGAGGCGGGGGGGGGGGGGGTGCGGTGATTCTCCTCACCCACCCCCCCCCCCAAAAGGGGGGGGGGGCTCCTTCTCCTCCAGGTTCTTAGTCGGCTGCTTGCACCCCCCTCAGTATTCAGCAGAGGTGGCCGAGAACATGGAAGACGCAGAGGTGGCGAGGCTGGCTGTGACCGACAAGGATGAGCACCACTCTCCTGCCTGGCACGCTGTGTACAGCATCGTTCAGGGCAACGGCGGAGGGTTCTTCTCCATCTCGACGGATCCAGAGACCAACGAAGGAATCTTGACAACGGCAAAAGTAGGCACGAACACCAGCTACTTCCGTGCACAAGCTCCTGTGTGCACGCGAGGGGCCGGAGGGAAAGCAGGGGATGCACCAGCATTGACACCAACAGGAAGCCCCACCTTTCCAGGGGAGGGGAAGGGCAACTCTGTGCCATATAGGGAGGAAAGACTAATATAGATCAGGGGCTGCTGTTGTTGTTATCGTCCTCCTCCTCATCTATGAATGGACATAGAGGACCAGACTCCTGGTCCAGTTGGTTAACCAGACAACTCCCTTCATGCAGGCCTCGGCAGTGCAGTTGCATCACCTGATGAGGCTTTTCCTCCACCTTGCTTAGGGGTTGGACTTCGAGACGAGAAAGCAGTTCGTGCTGGAGGTTGGAGTGGCCAACGAAGCGCCCTTTGCGGTGAAGCTGTCCATCTCAACAGCCACTGTGACCGTCAATGTGAAGGATGTGAACGAGGCCCCTGTCTTTGCACCGACGGTCCTGAAGGTGAAAGTCTCAGAGGACAGCCCAGTAGGGCAGAAAATTGCTGCCTACATGGCACAAGACCCAGACATGATGCAGCCCCAGAAAATCAGGTGAGCTGCTTCGCTGAAGAGCCAAAGGTGGGCCCACCCATCGGCCTCACGAGGTGGGGAGGGGTAGAGGGGGCAGGTACCTGGCAAGACAGCGCAGCGAAGAGGGGCCCAAACATCTTCAGCTGGTGGGAAGAGGCTGCCCGAGCACGCTGTGGTCCCGTCACTCAGCAGCGCTTCTTAGGGCATCCAGGTTTCTGTTCACGAAAAGGAGACTCAAAGCAGGGAAAAGGAAAGGGTGGCTGGACTGGCAGAGGGTGACAAAATTTGCCACAGAATCTAAATGGGAGAGCTAAAGGAGGCGACAGTCTCAATACCCCATAGCAAGCAAGCAAGCAGATTCCTGAACCACCAGACGTTGGTCAAGAGGTGTATTTATTTCACTTTGGGAGCAGCTTCCCAAATAAGGGCTCCTCCAGCTGCTTCTTCGCCTTCTCCAGCTCTGCTTTTCTCTCCTTGCACTTTCCTTTCTTTCCCCCCCACCGCCTTGCAGCTAAGCTCCTTTTCCTCTCCAACTGCCAGCTCAGCCCTAATTAGGGTTCAGGCTGCTCTGGGGGCATTAGGAGCTCAGCTGGATTGCGGCGAAGCCTTTCCTTCTGGGCCAAGCGTGTCCTGAAAGTCACCCGTCTGGGCAGCCTCCGACCTGGCACCGCCACCCCCCTCCCTCTCTCCCTCTTGGGATTCGGTCAGGATCTCCTTTCCCTGCAGGTACTTGCTGGGGAGTGACCCGGCCGACTGGCTGGCTGTCCACCCGGAGAGTGGCATCGTCACTACCAAGGCCCCCTTGGACCGGGAGTCCTCCTTCATCCAGAACAACACCTATGTGGCTATTGTGCTGGCGGTGGATGATGGTAACTGCTGCGGGGCTGGCGAGGGAGGGGCCCTCCCCATCCCTGTGGCTGGGGGAATCAAGAGCGCCTTTGTTGAGCGGAGTGGCTCTGCTGCTCGAGAGCTGCCCATGTGAGGGGCGCATGGTGGCAGGGCTGGGAGGCTCCCCGTCACGAGAACAGCGGCCCAGAGGGGGATCTGGTCCGGAAGCAGGGAGGGCAGGTTCGTGGTCCTCAGAAGTGAACAAGTGGAAGGCCAGGCCGGGGGGTGGGAACATCGCTCCTGTTTTGGCTTCCTGAAGGACGCCTTACTCCCCAAATCCCACAGAGCACTGATTCCCAGACTAAGGTGGTACGGTCCAGCTGGGCCCTGTTCTGAGTTCATTCTGTTATTAGCCACGTACAAGGTCGGGGGCCTTGCGGGGGGCAGATAGCAGCCTCTGGAGCAAAAGCAGACTGGGTGCTTGCAGAAGCCTGGGGGACAAATGGGGCAAGCCGTGGCAGAAGAATTGGGGGCTGTGGGAGTGCAGCACCGGGCCTTTGTTCCCTCTCCCTTTGCAGGAGAAACAGCCTAAGGCTTTTTGGATCAACAGCAGCGCATCTTCATAATCTGGCCTTCGGACACTGTTATTTTTTAAAGATGTCTCCCCCTCCCCCTCTGCCAACAGGGAGCCCCGCAGCGACCGGGACAGGAACGTTGCTGCTGACCCTCCTGGATGTGAATGACCACGGCCCTGAGCCCGACCGGAGGAAGTTCACCGTGTGCAACCGCGAGCCGGCACCGCAGCTGCTGCGCATCTTGGACAAGGACCTCCCCCCCAACACCTCCCCTTTCCGTGCGGAGCTCAGCCACAACTCGGAGGAGAACTGGGCCGTCGAGATGGACAGCACAGGTGGGCTGGCAGTGCACGGGGGCGTTCTGCTCTGGAGCAGCCCGCCAGCCCTTGGGGGCTTGGGAAATGGGCACTAACCTGACTTCCGGAAAGCACCTCCTCAGTGCCAGGGCAGGGGCTCCACGTCAGGCACGAGCCTTTGTGCCCCTCTGCCCTCTTGCTCCCCAAGGGTGATACCCAACGCGTTCCCGGGCCCTCTCTCGCAGGCCGCCCAGGCGGGGAGGTTCCTGCTGGGAGGGGAGAGAAGCAGCACAGCCCTTCCTCTGAGAGCAAGGACTGGAACTGGCCTCTGACCCGTGGTTTTTCTCTCCGTTGCCCAGGGGAGACGGCCACGCTGAAGCTGCTGAAGCCCTTGAAGCGAGAGACGTATGACGTCTACCTCCGGCTCCTGGACCAGCAGGGCAAATCGCATCTCACCGTCCTCAGGGCCACTGTCTGCGAGTGTGAAGGAGAGGTGGACGAGTGTCCAGAGGGGCAGCTGGCTATCATTGGGGCGCCTGTCATTCTGGCCATCTTGGGGGCCGTTTTGGCCCTACTGAGTGAGTGTGCAAAGCGCTGTCCTGCCCTGGGGGGAGGGGAGCTGGGAGCTGACATCGGGGTGCAAGGGGCCAGGTTTCCTCTCCTTGATGCGGCCTGCGTCGACACAGGATGCTGGGCTTGTGGGAATGACTGCAGCTGGGTGGCAACTCTGGTGAGGCTGACAGATGGAGAGCCACGGCCTTCCCTGGCCTTGTGAAGAAGTCTTTGGTTTGCGTTACCCCTGTAATACTGAGGACTAGAACCGTGAGATTTTCAGGGGAATGGTGGTTTTGGCCCCTGGGACTGTGGCAACGCTGGACCTGCCTGAGCTCCGCTGCCTCGGTTGCAACTGCCGCAGACGCGCCCTCTGAGCCCGGCCGTCTGTGTCTTCCAGTTCTGCTGCTGCTGCTGCTGCTCTTCGCGAGGAGGAGGAAGGTGGTGAAGGAGCCGCTGCTCCTGCCAGAAGACGACACGCGGGACAACATTTTCTACTACGGTGAAGAGGGAGGGGGCGAGGAAGACCAGGTGGGTCCCGCAGGGGAAGGACTGAGCTCTGGCTTTCTGTCGGTGCCCGAACGCGGGCAGGCCCAGGGCAGGTGCGAGCTTTGCGGAGGCTCGGCCCCCTTCGGGGAAGGTCTGGGGGTGCTTCTCACCGGGCCCCCTCCCTTGCCCTGCCCCTCAGCCCCAGCCAACCAGCCCTTCCTTCCTTCCTTCCTTCCTTCCTTCCTTCCCTGTCCCGAAAGGACTATGACCTCAGCCAGCTGCACAGGGGGTTGGACACGCGTCCAGAAGTTGTCCACCGGAATGATGTCGTGCCAACCGTTTTGCCAACCCCGCAGTATCGCCCCCGCCCTGCAAATCCTGATGAGATTGGCAACTTCATCTGCGAGGTAAGGCAGGGGTTGGCAGGCCAGGCAGCAGCACCTCGTTCTGTGCTGCACTGGCTGTTCCTGGTCTTCGCCCCCACGGGGGTTGCCAAGCTGGGTCTGCTACCCGCTGTCTGCAGCCGCCTTCCTGCTCGTGGGGCCCTTGTGCAGCTCTTGGGGTTGAAGTGTGCATCTTCCTCAGCCACATTCAAACGTAATGCCCTCGGGTTCTCACGTTGCCACCAGCGTCTGCCCAGGCTTTCCTTGCAGCCCCAAGACTGCCCTGCCCTGCTGTAAGTCAGCAGTGGGCAAGAACGGAATGAGGCCCCCTTGAGATTTGAATGGCTGGAAGCCCCGGCTCTCCCCTCAGGCCTTTGGAGAGGGTGCCCGATGCCCCTCCTTGCTTTCCATTCCTTTGGCTTTATTTCCTTTGCCATCGTTTTTCTTTTGTCTTGCGCCGTTTTTGAGAGTTTTTTTCCTATTCTTTGTTTTTAAGTGTTTTAACAATTGTAAACTGCCCAGGGTCTCTGAGAGTTGGGCAGCATGTAAATTTAATAAATTATGGTTGGTCGCACAGCCAGCCACGTGTTGAGGCTGGATTTGGCATTTTTATCCACCGATCGAGTCCTTCCCTGGAATAGGCAGATGTTGTGATTTGATGGTGTGAAATGTACCGTCGCAGGATGGAAGCGGTTCCAGGTAAAGCTGCCTTTTGCAATGGACGGATGGCGATTTTGCCCATGCCGATGGTCTTCCAGGGTGCTCCAGGTGTTTGGGGATAGCACCCAAGGCGCCCATAACTATTGGTACTACCTTTGTTTTTTTTACCACAGTCGTTCTACTTCTGTTTGCAGGTCTTTGTATTTTGTGATTTTCT